TAGCTGTTAGGGCTAACCGTCTTAAACTTAACTCCTATACAAGCACCATCTCAAGTCTACAGCATTATCCGGAGGACTGTATATTTCACGCTGGGAAAATGGGCGAAAACACCAAAGACAGTCCTACGGGCTCCGTCTACCAAGTATTTCCTCTGTCTTCCAAATAGAACCAGTTTGGACTCCGGCGGGAACTTGACTCAAAAGGGGCTAAGTCACACACCAAGTTCGATTACTGATGTGGTCTTTCAGTAGGTGGAACACTTGATGTCCGTCATGTGGTCACCAAAGTTTTAACACACATTCTGACGTCCTTTTTCGGGAGCGTCGTATTTGACATAATAATAACTCACGCATATTTGTGACTTCTTCACTGCTGTCGAAAATACCAGCTAGCTTCAACAAACGCCTCATGAATTCTTTTCTAGTCAGGAAGACAAATGTGTCATGGTAGAAGAGCAACCAATGTTAATTGACGCTTTTTACCGAAGGCTTTGACAGTACCATCTAGAAATCGTCTAGTCAAAGTTCTCTTTCCTGCCGGTAGCACGGAAACCACGGATAGTGGGTAATATTGAGGAACACCTTTTGCCATACCCGGTAGCCGAATTTTCGCTACTACGAAGAATATTGGTCAAGTAAGACAGCGATTTCCTAGTGAAGACGACGCGTCCGGTTGCGACTCCATTCGTACACAAGGTACTTTTTAAGCAGAATATGCTTACTGTTATATTTTTCAGTCACCTTTTTAACCGGTGAAATAAACCGGAAGAGACAATGAGAAAGTCAACGGAAAGTCAGGTTTTCCTGAGGTGACATTACGGGTATACGGGCTTGTCCATGCGGCATATATGTGATGCCGGATGCAGATATATTCTGTACGATGCCGCCTCGGGGTCCGTATCTGTTTCGAAATGGCCAGCCACGTTGCGCTCTACGTTGTATATGTGGAAGGAGTGCATGCGCAAGTCCAAATCCTCCTTAATTAGGAAAATAATGGATTGCAATTAGACAGAGGCGACAATTGAACAGGTAGCATTTAGTTAGATAACCACAACATGCCTACTTACTCCACATAAGTAGACATGCTATATTGGTACTACGGTTCCGGTTAAAAGTGCGATAATGGTTACGGCTAAGGGGATTTTTGCCTCCAGCATACCGTCTTACCCAATCGGACATTGCTTACTCGATAATCTTGGTTGACCTGTATTCCACATACTTACTTGCTCCTAATTCGAGTTATTCGATTTGCGTAATCTGTTCAGGCGCCTTGTTGGAGTAGTAAAATAAACATGGCAGGAATGCGAGTTTTTCAAGTACTTCTGGCAATTCATTACTTATGGCGTTAATCAGCACCACGGATAAAACGATTATTAACATCCCTCTCATATTACAGGAGTCCCCACGTCGTGTTGTTCCCGCGGCGCTACGTATTAAATCCTCTCCGACAAAAGAGACGCCAGGAATGGTGAAAAGTTTCCTTTTGGGGTAACCCTTTATCGCCGAAATTCGTTATTTTGTACGCGTTTTCAGTGATTCTTATAATGGGGTCATCCAAAGTGACTTGTGACTAATTGACTGCTAATGTTATTTTAAATGGTCTAAATTCGTTGAAGTAA